ATAGATACTAACCTTATTAATGATGTCAATCAAATTTCAGCTATTCGTTCAACTTCTTCCAATTATTCCATTTGTGTTGTTCTTCAGGAAGATTATATTACAGCATTCCTTTGGAATACTAAAAATTCAGAAATTCTATTCATTGGTAAAAATCCACAAATAGAAAAATAATTTATTGATTAAAGAATCTTTAGAATTAATTTCAAGTCTAAAGACTATATTTCAATCATTGCCAATGTCTTTATTAAAGCTATTAATAATGCAAATTTTACATTAAATTTCGAGGAAAGCTAAAGGTAAGCTTTGATGAAATGGGTATTGCTTAAATAATATAGATAATAATAAATGAAACAAAATGGAGAATCTTTTTCAAGAATACTTGATGATCAATTCCTTTAAGATGTCAATAAATCAAATTAACACAAAAGTAAATCAAATTCTTAATAACTATCAAAAATTGAAAATACTATTAAATAAGATAATATTTCATAATAATAACAATCTAATTCATACAATCTAAATTCCATAAATCATTCTTCCCAGCTATCTTCAAATAATTAAAGATAAGAAAATAGTAAAATTTCTAAATCTCACATTTCACTACCATCTACTAGTAGAGTTGATACTATTAAAGATCAAATATCAATCTAAGATTTTGTTCAAGGTATGGAGAATATTAAAAGTTAAATTTTACTTGATATTCCTCAGCCTGATGAATTAAAACCTAAAGATTATACTCTTAAACCTATAATTCCTTTTTTCTCACCTGATAAAGTCTTTCGAGTCAAAGTTGAAGATTTAGAAGAACTTCTTAAAGAATAAGTTAAAAATAAAAAAATTTAAGAACCAAATCCTGCTGATTAATTACAATATTTATTAACGTATTATTAACAAAATAATCCAGAACAATATAAAATACTTTTAAATTAATATTCTGATTTCATTCATGAAAGAGTAATTTTATTATTTTTATATTAGATGTTTGAAGGTATGGGTTTACCTTCTTCAACTAAATCCTTTATTTAATAACAACCGGAATTTTTATAATAATTAAAAAAACAATCAATCTAAATTCCTAAGTCAAAATCAATGCTATTTTCTAAATAACCCCCTATGCAACCATAACTTTATTAAGAAGAAATTGTAGCAATCAAATATAATAGAAATATTAACAGATAAGAATTTGAACTTCTAAAACAAAAATTGGTTCTTTCTCAAAATATAATGGAATTCTATTTTTGTAATTTATAAGAAGAATTCAAAAGAGTACTAATCTTTCCGATTGAATTTTATAATGTTCTTAGCTAAAATCCATAAAAGTATAAATCACTACTATTCTTAGAGCATAGACTTTTACAGATCAATATTAGGGCAAAAACAGAACAATATTTGATCAATTTGATAAAGTCTTTGTTCCTGTTAAAATTAGTCAATATGAATATGTAGGAGTTTATATTGACTTTTAAAATAAAACCATGTACTATATAAATACTCTTGAAAGAAGAGATAGTAAATAAAGATATTAATAAAAAAAATAGGAAAGTAACCACCTTATAAAGAGATAGTGGATTAGCCAGTTATGCATTTCATAATGAGATTTATAGAGAATGAATATAATTTAAAAGTGATGAGAGCCTTCAATATTTTTAATTGGAGTAATATTATAGTATTGATAAAATTCATAAGAATTTGTAGAATTCATGAACGAATATGCATAAAACTTTAACTATAGTGGATTGGTATTGGCTTATGTGATTGATTCAATATGCAATCATAGAAGTGCAGTAGGTGACAATCAAATATTGAAAGATTTTGCCTAGAAGATATTGGAAGTTATTAGAAAAGCAGGGAGTAAGAAATGAGATTAGAAATAATAAAATATAATATATACTATTGTTGTAAAAAATAATTAAATAATAATTATGAATTCCCAATAACCTGTTTATGTTTAAGGTATATAATAAATGGAAGTATAGAGATGAAATTGGACAATTATGAAATAGTGAAACCTCTAGGTTAAGGAGCTTACAGTGAAGTTGTATTAGCTAAAAATAAACTTACAGGCCATGAATCTGCTCTAAAGATTGTAGATAAGCCTTTTCTATTGAAGGTATGACAATCTAATAAAGTAAGGAAAAAAAAATGCATCATGCCTGTATAGAAAGAGAAGTGTTATGTTATTTAAGACACAAAGGAATAATAAAGTTATTTAATTCATTTGAAGACGAGAGTAAATTGTATTACTCTTTAGAGTTGTTGAATGATGGCAATCTTTTGGAATACTTTAACAGTATTTGAATAATTTTAATATAGAGTATAATTTTAATGAAAAAATGATACAATTTTATACTGCTGAACTATTATTAATTTTAGAATATTTGCATTAGAATGGTTTAGTTCATAGAGATATTAAACCAGAGAATATTTTGTTGACAAAAGATAAACATTTAAAATTAATAGATTTTGGAACAGTTTTTGTATATGATGATTAAAAAATTAATATTGGATTTAAATTAGAATAAATCAGAATTCAATATTAAAAATAGAGATCACCATCATTAAATGATTTTGAAAAGCCTCCAATAAAATTTTGTCGTGATTCTAGTTTTGTAGGAACATCAGAATATTTATGTCCAGAATTAATTGATTATAACATAGTAGGACCTTAAGCAGATTTATGGGCTTTAGGATGTTTCATTTATTAATTATACACTCATAGAACTCCATTTTTTTCTGAAAATGAATTTTAATTATTCCATAATATAAGTTAATGTGAATGGGAGAAAGATTAAAGAATTCCAAATGACGCTTTAGAATTAATAAGAATTTTATTAGATAGGAATCCATAGAATAGATTTTATGGAGAAATAAATGGTAAGATCCTATTAAAATTTAAGATTCTGATTACAATTATAATTGTTTGAAAAAGCATCCCTTTTTTAAAGGAATAGATTTCCATAATATATGGTTATAAGATGTTCCATAACCAATTATTACAACATAAAAAAGAAGACTTAGCAGATATTAAACAACAATGTTAGATAGATAGAAGGAGAGAGAAAAACCAGATATAAGAGGGAATTCAGTAACAAAAAATTAGACAGATCAAATAATTCTAAAAGGTAATGTAGATAAAGAACATGGTGTACTTTTTATGACTTAGTTTTCTATAAGATATGCAAATATAAGTATATAAGGTGGAACTCCTTATTTTAATTATATAAATCCTTAGTTGAATAATAAACTAGTATATAAATTGTATTTGATATTTAGACAATCATTCCATTAAATTAATTCACTTCTTGTAAATTGTTAGGCAAAGGTAAATTCATAGTTGGAGATAAAAATAAGAAGAAATACATCTTTAAAGAAAGAGATCATGATATAACTGCTTAGCAATGGGTTAACACTATGAATAAATACATCAATGCTAATCATTTATAATTTTGATTAGAATATGATATTATAAATTTGTATATGCTTATTTTATTCATAATGATGTATCAATTGTGAATCCAACTGGTAATGGGAGAACACCTTATTTCTTTGGCATTGAACCATCTAATGGTAATTCAGTTGATAATGTCCAATTGAATCTAATAATTTTAAGATATTTAACTTCTCATTGAATCTTCCTTTTCCACTTAATCCCAAACTCTTTTTAGTTAAATTAATTCTTGCTTTAGTATCCACTCCATTTAATTTTGTTGATACTCCAACTTATGTTGTCAATTCTCCTGAACTCAAACCATATTCTGTCTCTAATCCATAAGTTTATTATTTTCTTCTATGAACCAAATCCAAAATAACTTTTCCTCCTAAAAGATCATTAAACTATTTAGATTCTGTAGGTTTTGATGTAAGATGTCTTAAAAATACATCATATTTTGGTTATAAGTATCCAACAAGAAAATCGAATCTTCTTAGTCCAAATCCACCTGTTAATTAGAAATCTTCAGCGACTACTATAGTCCATTAATTATTCTTCCAAAATGTTCTACTTAATCCATTAACACCATTACTAGATGGATTGTATTCCAATCCTAAAATAATTTGATTTTCTTAATTACTTAAATGATTAGTGAGGGCATTCCATTTTGTTACTCCTCCAAATCTCAAAATAGCATTGCTTATGCTTGAACTTCCTAATTTAGCATTAGCAAATAAGGAAACATTTCCATTTGTTAATTTTGCTACTTATCCAAAATCTACATGGACTTTTGCTCCATCTTCTCTTGTAGCAAATTATAGAGTGTAACTTAAATTATTATTATTAATACTTTTTGTATAAAAATTAAAACTTTGTCTCTTATTTAGATTGTAATTTTGTTACATCCAACCAACCCTTGTAATTGGCTGATCCAGAATTTTAAGTAGTTGCTTTCAATTTTAAGTTCAATTTTCCTGTTGAATAATCATCTTCTAAAACTTTCTTGTATGAATGATCACCAAGACTAGTTAGAGGAGCTGGGTTTAAAGATTCTGGAGTGCTCATTTTAATATCTTTTTATTATAATTTATTGATGAATATTTTTTTATATACACACTTAATTCACATAATATCACATTTATTTAACATATTCAAAATTCATATATTTAAATTATTAATCTAAAATAATAATATTCATATTTAGATGAATATCTTGAATTTCATCATCTCAAATTAATGTAAAAACTAAAAGTTAAATAGTTGAAAAACCCTGTAATCAATATAAAATGTTTTATTTCTTTTAAATAATATGGTATATGATTTAATAAGGTAAAGAATCAACATATGCTATATCGAAATAAGAACTCATTTTAAAATTCAAAATCTTAAGAGGATGTAAGTTTATTGCTGAAATTAATCAATAATATTTTATCTCCCTAATTTAGATAATATTAGTATAATTATAAAATAAAGAATGAATTAGAAAATGTTTTCAAAAGTAGGAATGATAAAGGAGATATAAATTAAATTTGAATCACGATTATTTATGTTATTTAGTTTTGTAATTTAAAATAAAATTGTTAATTATAATAAAATGAATATATAAACTTTATTATTAAAATAAGAAAGAACAAAGAGAGAAGTACAATAATTAATAGAATGTTTAGGATAGGTAAAGTTTTTAAATGAATTGAATAATGGTTAAAAATTATACTAAGCAACTTTAAGAGGATTTGCTGAGAAAGCAACACTAATTCGATATGAGAAAGGTAAGTTTGTGATTGATTTATGAAGAATAGGGCACATTATTTGGAGGGAAGGGATAAAACAGGAAAAATTATTTATAATATTGAGTGGCAGAGTACAGGAATATGTGTAATTAGATGATGAAGAAGTGAATAGAAAGAGAAATGATCTAATAGAGAAATATCCAGAGTGCTAAGATCTATTTATAAATAAGCCAGGAAGAAGAATAGTATATGAATATGAAAATGAAACTAGTGATCAGATTAAAGCTTCAATAAATGATAATATGAGAAAGAGGAGAAGTTTAGTTTTTGAAATTCCAAGTATGTTGGATGTACCTCTGATCAGAAGTTCTTCTGTAATATAGAAGAATATACAGCCATTTTCAAAGATAACAGTGAACGAAGTAAGCTAGATCGTATAATATATATCAGGCTCCTTTATCTTATATGATTGTACTGAGTAAGGAAGTGAGAGAATGTTTAAGAGAAGTGAAATTGATGAATGATTATCATTTACAATATTTCATTTAAGAATTCGTTTTGGCAGTTAGATAAGGCAGAATGTTTTCGCATGGAGATTTGTTGAATTCTGATATTTAAAAAAAGAAGTTTGATAATACTTTGTTATGTATGGAGGATTCTATGATAATGCAGATTGGATTAGAAGATTATCATAATATTGAGATTCATTTAAATTAGAGAAAATAATAGAAAATTTGGGATATTATTTATTCTGGTTTATTTGGAAAGAGTAAGGTGAGTTAAGAAGAAGCAAATCAAATTATGAAAGTATTGGTTAATAAATATACTTCTAAAAAATACACATAATATAATGTAGTGTATTTGGAAGGTGAAACTTAAAAGTTTATATACATTGTTAAAGAGGGGGAATTTCAATTATCATTTGATAATCATGGTTAAGAGACTGTATTATAATCTACAATGGCTATTGCAAAGGTAAGTTAAGGAAGCATGTTGGGTGAAGAATCTTATACAATTAGTCGACATATTTTTAATTGTATAAGTATTTCTTCAAAGAATAAAATAATTGGACTAAGTATTCATGATCTAGAAGCCTTAGGACATAGATTTGTTTGGCTTAGAGATTTATTAAAAAATAAAGAAAAAATTAAATAATAATGGTTAAAGACAAGAATGAATGAAAATGTTCATTTCAGTAATAAATTAAATGAAAAATAATAAAATTTTGATGAAGAAAAAAAATTGATTAATGAATTCAAAATATCTGATCCAGAAATACAAATTACTTAATTTTAGAGATTGTAACCAAAACATCGTTAAATGATTACACCTTCACCATTAAAGCGTCCTAAATTAATCAAAGTAAATAGTTAAAGGAATGTTAATACAAGTAGAAATAATAGTTAAGGTGTTAATAAAAAATTAGAGAATTTAAATATTTTTGGAAATGAAATCTTATGTGAATTAGGAATTGGTAAAATTACAACACAAAATACTAAAATTAGTAATATTGAACCAATAGATCATTCCCTTACTTATAGAGATACAAGCAGACTCTTACTAAAAAAAGTGAGAAAGACATCAAATTATAATTCATCTTAACCATTTTCTCATAGAGATAATAGTACTATAAATAATGATAATGATATTGTACCAATGATGATGAATATGAGTAAGAATTAACTTTAATTTCTAAAAACAATGGTAGGCAAATTCAATCATAAGAATTCTTAACCTTCTCCTGAATGTTTTCATTAATAAAGTACTCCTGTTCTAATCCAAAGTATTTACCCAAAAAGGATTGTCAGAAGAGCCTAGTAAGGGTATGATTGAAACTACATTAAAATATTCAAGTAGAACTAATCTAAATGTTTTTCTTTTTTATTTCAAACCCACCAATTCTCTTTCTTGATTAAATTAATATGCAAGATAAATCTAATACTAATTCAAGTGCCAATGATTCTTAATCTTAAAGGAAGGTAGTTGAAATCATAGAATAGTAGAAAAGAAGACGAACATGCAAGGCCAGTGATGCTCTTAGAGAATATAAATGTGAGTGTGGAAAGTCTTACTTGAGTTATCCAGCATTATACACTCATAACAAATAAAAACACAATGGGGTTTTCAAATGACATAATACTGTAGTAATCTCAAAAGAACTTAGATGAACAAAGACTGGAGTCGACGTTTTCAGAATCTCAGACTTAATACATTTTCACTACACTTGCTAATGCCTTAGGTAAGCAAGAAGACAAATAACGGACCTCTTTCACTCTCTAAGACATGTATGATCTCATTATGTGGGAAATCTAATTATAAATGATTGAATCAGATTTCAAAGACTTTCCTTTAGACTATTATCATGAATTATTGAAATAAAGTTCTCCTGTTGAAATCTCTACTCCTTAACATGCCTTTATTAAGTTTATTCATGAAGTAAAAGAAGTCTTGAGCTTTGAACAAATGAAACTAGTCTTTCTTTTTGTGTATTCCTTCAGATAATTACTCCTAGAGAATCCAGATTGTACTACAAATAATTTAGTTGAGAAGGCTAACCAGTTAATTTGTTCACAATTAAATAAGGTTTTGCAAAGTATCCAAAAACTTTCGGAGCGGCATTACATTGTATATTTAAGTAGAATGGAAAATCTTCGAGAAGCAATGATTCAAATAGTGCTAAGCTTTTGTAATTGGCTCTATGCTCGTCATTTGACTGACGACAAGTTATCTCTAAGAAATGATTCGGAATGATTTTTTAATATTTATATAGCAATCATTCTTAGTGAACTGTCTCTTATTTATTTAAACTAATCCTATTTGGATCGAAAGGCCATCTATCAATTAATTACTATGGTTTATCTAAGTAACTACCATCACCGAAATTTAGTTTTAATCCATACAATTTGCCCTAAAAGATAATAAAAATAAAAAGATACCCAAAAGGATGAATGTCCTATATCATTTACTAAATGTAGGTACAATTTATTTGGAATCATATGAGTTGCTTATTGTATATGTTCTTGAACTCCAGCTGGTTGTAAAACGTAAGCTCTTACTTTATTTTAATGATAGCCAAAATATACAAAGGTCCACTGATAAGGTTTAATAGAGAAAGAATGTTATAAAGATTCAAATGAAGGATCTTTAATTGTATATGTAGAAGCCAAAAGCTCATTTATTTTTGTAAAAAGAGCCAATGTCCTATCTCCAATAAATTGATTATCCTAACCTACTTCTTCATTGTTAGAAGTTAATCTTATCAGTCCTCTTAATTCATCTACCATTTCAGGTAACAAGGGGGCATTTTAGTACCAGAAACCAATACTGTAACTGAGCATTTCTTATTTATCATCAAACTGATATTTAAGTTCATTCTTTTTTTCATCTAAATCGTCCTAATTGGTAGTATCTAGCATTTTTACAGGCCAACTAAATCCTTCAGAAGATTGTGAACTAATAGGAACTTTACGATGTAATTTTTAAACCATTTCTACTATAGTTTCAGGATTATTTAAAGAGGCACCGACACCAATAAATAATCTCGGATCATAGATCCATCCATGGAATGCTTTATATCCAAATTCATTCGCAGCTAAAACCAAACTAGCATAACCAGTAAATACAAAATGAGTAACATCTAATTGTATATGTTCAAAATGTTCTCGATCCCTAAAAAGGATTAATCCATAAAACTATTTATTTTTATAACTTGCATAAATGTAATTCCATTCTCCTTCTAAATTTTCATAATTAATTTTGGCATCAACAGCATTTTTAGGTACTGCTAAATCATAAGTACTGAATTCATAATATCCTTTTTTTATGAATGCTGATAATGCTCTATTTCCTAATTCAGCTTTATCCTAATATTCTGTAGTTTAAGAAAGTCGAAAAATAGTATGAGTATCAGATCTTTCAGTTAGAGTATTTGGAAAAGCAATTAACCATCTTGTCCACATACCAACAGCATATTCATCAACAGATTCAACTTCTTTATTAAAAGTTTATTGTAATTTATTTTCAATTTTCTTATCTTCTTTCATAAACCACATATTCTTTTTATTTTTAATGATATAGCTCAGATTTGGCATAGTTTCCTCATTATAAGTATGAGATCCAGATCCATATAACAATTCCCATTTATGTTATTCTCCTTGGAATTTCCTACTGAATGTATCTTAGCCTAAATAAATAAACATATTATTGGCAACAAAATGTTAAACATCCTTGAATATAATAGGCAAATCTTTTTCAAATAATTTAAGTAATGTTGCTACTTCTCTCTTTTCTTCACTATAACTCATATAGAAATATGTCCAAGCTCTTTTGGAATTACCCATTTCTGCTTTTGCTTCTAAAAATTTGGCTTCATTCCAATCCTTTAATCCTGAAATACTATAAGTACTAACCTTAACTGTATCACTTGTACAGACCTAAGCATAAAAAGTTCTATCTCCTTGAATTTTCCTATCAAACAAATGTTCTTCATAATTGTTAGTTAATCTAAACAAGATTTGACATGGCGAAGTAATTTCTCCTTCAATTTTAGTTTATATTTCTGCAATCTTAAACCAACCACTTATAGCATATTCTCCTATTCCTTACAATTGTGTAAGCTCTTATGTCTTATATTGTTCTAATTCTACTTGTCCTTTCTTCTATTTTTATATATATCCTACAGTTAATTCTAATGGTAAAGCATAACTAGATTCTATTACCTTTAATAATTATTCTTCTTCATCTATAAACGCATCCTTACCCAAATGTGCTGAAATCTGACTCATTAATCCATGAAATCCAGGAATATTCTTCTCTCCTCCTAATATCAACTTTATCCACTCATTCAATGGTCTCTGTAGCAATTATTCATTCTTTGCTTTTTTTATATGTTCTCCATCATAAACATAATAAACAGCTTCTTATATAGCTCTCTTATATCCAGCATAAATATAATGCCATTTACCTTCTAATGATGTCTAAGGTATTGTAGATATTTCATTAGGTGCATCTTCATTTATATCATATGCACCAAAATAAAAGTTATCATGTAATAAATATGCACTCAAAACTCTATCTCCTATTACAATCTTTCCATTCTCCAATTCTTCATTTGAAGTCAATCTGAAAACCTACATTTCATTTTGAATATTCCACAATCTTGATGGCCAAGCCTACAAAAATCTAATCCATAAACCTACTGAATATTCCTATATACTCTCAATCCTTTAATTTGGCTCCGCTATTCTTATTGTCACTCCTTACTTTTCTGCATCTAAAGAATCCAGTACTAATTCATCTTCTTCATAATCCCATTACAATTTTGCATTTGGATTAAATAATTATGGAGATTATAAAAATACCATCAAACCCTTGAAATTATCCTTTCTAAATGCTCCATTTCCTAAATTCACTACTACCTATGCCAATCGACTATCATATGAATTTAAAAGTGCATCTTTAGCTAAATAGAACCAATAATTAGATGAAACTACATGTAAAGCAAATTCAAATCTATCTTGCTCATTTTCCTCCGTATTTATATAATATACTATTTATTAACTCTCTTTTGAATATGCAAAATATACAAATGTCCATACTTCTTAATTCTATTTTGTAATTTAAACTCCATATGCATTATTTAATTATACTGTCTTCTCACCCAAACTATATGTACTAAATTCCAATCCCTCTGTATGACATAAGACTAATGTACGATCACCAATCTTCTGAGCATCTCCAAGACTCTCTTCTCCATTTGATGTCAATCTATACATTAATTAAGTATTCTTCTAACTCTTAAACCATCTAAACCATAACTAAACTCCATATTCTCTTACTTCTTGGTTGAATTTTGTTAAATGATGTTTCTCATCTAGTTTTCTTACATCATGTATTCCAGATATTATTTCAATATTCTTACTTATTTATTCTACATCTGGAATAGTATCCTTTGTCTTTATTCTAGATAACAAATCAGCTTTATTCTCGATAAAAGATCCTGGACCTAAATTAAATCTTACTTTTGTTATTTAACCATTGAAATTAGCATAATATTTACCTGCATGACCAACGCAAAAATATAGATAGTTTGTTAATAAAGAATGTAAAACATCCATTTTTAATCCTTCAGTATGATCTTTAAATTAAGTAAAGGCTATTGCATGTCCTTCTTATTAAGTGTTTCTCTTATAACTAAAATATAGATATTACCACTCTCCTTCACTCTCTCTTTTGTATTCAAGATCACCTCCAACATTATTTGTTTTAGTTATAACATCATAAGTTCCAAAAGAGAAAGCCTTTCTATTCATCACAACCAATAAGACTCTATCCCCTGGATTATCAAAATCTTTATATTCTTTATTAGTTGTTAATCTAGCAACTCCCATAATTTGAGGTTGAGTATAAATTTTATATTTGATTCCAAAGAATTAATATCTCAACCAGAATCCATAACCATATTCTGAAACACCATGTAATTAGAGAGTAGAACTTTATTGGAAATGTATTTACATTGGAGGTTCTTCTTCATTGGTTGCACATTCTAATATTTTTTCTTCATGATGTGCTTCTTAACCTGCTTATTTAATATGATCAGCTCCACTAATAAATCCAAAATGAATTTTAATATTTTCATCTTCTTCAAAGTTTCCCTCTCTATATGCACCAAAACCTACATTAACTACCCATGTTTTCATTTAGCCAACAAAATCAACATATGATTACCGTTAATGACCAACAATAAGACTAAAAACAGCTAAATAGAAGTGGGAGATTTTTTCTTATGTAAATTCAGCATTTGAGAATGCAAATTTAACATATCCATATGTTTTTTACTATTACTAGGAATATCCATAATATATGTATGTCCATTAATCAGCATATTCATGAAATTCTTATTCAGTAGAAATCAATTTACCATTATTAGTATAGGTAATAAATCTATAAAGAGAATCACCTCTAATAATTTATAAGGTTTCTTCTTTGTTTCCATCTAAATCAAGCAATCTCTTTTAAGCTAGAGTAATAACATGTGATTCTTAACCAGTAATAAGTGATCCACTCCATCTAACCCATCCAGAAATTGAGTATTCTTCAGCTCCTTAATATTTATTGAATTCAAATTAGATTGGATCTTCAGCTATTGTAATGGCAGATCCAAATAATTATAAAGTTTATCTTGTAACAGGATGAATTTAAGCTTTTTCAGGTAATGAATTTTCTGTATAGACTTTCAGAGTATCTTTGTTAGGTACAAATGCTCCAGGACCAAAACTGAAAGTAACTTTAGCAATTTCACCATTAAAAAGTGGAGCAAATGTCTTACCAACAACGAATTCAACATATTCAATTAAGAAATCATGATAAACATTAAAAGCTACTTCTTCTATTTCGCCATCTACTCCAAATTGTATGTAACCTTTAGCTACTCCCTTCTCACCATGTCTCTTATATCCAAAATAAACATAATTCCATTAACCTTCTAAATTAATAAATGGGATATCATCTTTAAGATTAAGAGTTTAGAATTCATATGATTCTTAAGCCAATACACATGCTAAAGTAATATCTTTAAGTGTTTAAGGCCTACCTTAATTAGCTCTAACCCATTTACCATCAAGAGATTCAATTATATAACCTTAAGTACCTACTTTAGCAATATTATGGACTGGTGATCTTTTACTTAAATATTTTGGTAAGGTAGTCAACCATCTGGTCCATAAACCAAAAGCGTATTCACTTTATCCATTAATTTTCATTCCATTTTCATCATGAATAATTATCTTATCTACTATATTCTCTTATTAATCATATTCTATATATCTATTTTAATCAACTCCCAAATAAGTTATTGGTTTACCTACTTAATAAACTCCCATAACTCCTTCTCCATAATTAAAAGTAGTCTAAAAATCTAATCCTTCTCTGTAAGATCCTTCTCCTAAATAGATTCCAACAAATGCTATCTTCCCATTGAATGCAGATATTGTTTCATCTCCTCCTACAGTCACACTTAAATGATTAACTTATTTATGGTAAACTCCTTCAAATTTAACTTCTCCAGTTACTTAAGGTTTTATTAAGGCGCCATAAGCTCTTCCTTCCTTATATCCAAAATACACATATGTCCAAATATATTCAACACTCTCTATACTCTTTAATATATTCACAGATCCTTTGCCTCTATTCCCATATACACTATATGTATTGAAATATACATTACTTTTTATACCTCCACCATATATATGATGAACTTCTAAAGCTCTATCTCCTAGAACTCCTTTACCTTTAGTACGTACTTTATTTGATCTTAAATTAATTAATTAAAATGCATTTGGTTCATCTACTTTTAGATCATCCACCCATCTTAACCAAAATGCTACTGCATATTCTTCAATTAATAATTATGATTCTTGTGGATCAAAATGAAAATGCTCACCTTTCTCATTACCACTTATTAAAATTGGTTTACTTATTATTGTTTCTTCTATCAATATTGGTAATTATTAAGGCATATTACTTAATCTCTTAATAGTATCTTCTAATGCATCATCTCCATCAATAAAAGCAGGAGCATCAATATCATAAAATATGTTAGCAAACTATCCATTTAATCCCAAATAATCCATATGCTTTCCTCCAAATATAAATTTAACATACGTTGGTGGAACATGCTAAGCATCAATTTCTATTCTATATTTAGATGCTCCTTCTCCATATTTTACTATATATCCAACTACCATTCTTTATTAAGAACTGTAAGAGTATGCTACGAAATACCAAATACTATCCATATTCTCATTTAACACAACATTGATATCCTTGGTTTTACTCTATGTTGTAATATCATAAGTTGAAAAAACAAATGAATTATCATATAAAAATAGTACCAATGTTCTATCACCATAAAATGAGAAATCTTAATATTCTTCATTAGTAGTCATTCTTGATAAGAAATAATATTATCCCTCTTCACGTACATGTTATTTAATTGAATGTTCACTAAATCTCACCCAATATCCATATCCATATTCAGATGAATCTTATAATAATTATCTATCCTCAAATTCAAATACTTATGTTGGCTCTCCATCAAAATCTGAATTGAAATATTTAGTATTAACAGCTATAGTTTTTTTCTCATATACTCTACCATTACTTGCTCTATGTTTAGGTGGTTAAAATTATGTTGGTTCATTTGCATTGAATTCCTCCTTAACAGATGTTAGTTTTATAGATCTATCATGTTCGCTTTAATCATTCTGTTTATCCTCACTAATAACATCATTTAATTAATTCTCTTGAGCCAAATAATTAGCTCCTTTACTATATGATTCTATCACTTCTTCTCCAACTATCTCTTCAACATAATTCTTATTTCCATAACAAATAGTAGGTAATGGCTATTTCTTTGCCATCTTCTTCTCTTACTTAGCTTATCTTCTTGTTCTTTAACCATCTTTAGAACGAAGTCCTGATCTATTAACTTTTTTCATAACTTTCTTTGCTTTCTTTCTAAATTAAGGTACACATATTTCACCCTCTTCTTCTCCATTTTCATTCTTCTCATCTTATGGTGGTATATCATCCTTTTTATTTACTTTTTTTTTATTTTATTGATTATCTGAAACAACTTTTTATTTCTTTGCATCATCTTCTTGATTTTTAATTTTATTTTTTTTCTCATCAGATTATTTATATCCATTTTTCTTCTTCTATTTAATTATTTCAGCTTATTTAGTTTTCTTTCTATTTTGTTCTTCTCTTTTAGGTTTTACTTTTTTTTTATCAACATCTTAATCATCATTAANGTATCTTCTAATGCATCATCTCCATCAATAAAAGCAGGAGCATCAATATCATAAAATATGTTAGCAAACTATCCATTTAATCCCAAATAATCCATATGCTTTCCTCCAAATATAAATTTAACATACGTTGGTGGAACATGCTAAGCATCAATTTCTATTCTATATTTAGATGCTCCTTCTCCATATTTTACTATATATCCAACTACCATTCTTTATTAAGAACTGTAAGAGTATGCTACGAAATACCAAATACTATCCATATTCTCATTTAACACAACATTGATATCCTTGGTTTTACTCTATGTTGTAATATCATAAGTTGAAAAAACAAATGAATTATCATATAAAAATAGTACCAATGTTCTATCACCATAAAATGAGAAATCTTAATATTCTTCATTAGTAGTCATTCTTGATAAGAAATAATATTATCCCTCTTCACGTACATGTTATTTAATTGAATGTTCACTAAATCTCACCCAATATCCATATCCATATTCAGATGAATCTTATAATAATTATCTATCCTCAAATTCAAATACTTATGTTGGCTCTCCATCAAAATCTGAATTGAAATATTTAGTATTAACAGCTATAGTTTTTTTCTCATATACTCTACCATTACTTGCTCTATGTTTAGGTGGTTAAAATTATGTTGGTTCATTTGCATTGAATTCCTCCTTAACAGATGTTAGTTTTATAGATCTATCATGTTCGCTTTAATCATTCTGTTTATCCTCACTAATAACATCATTTAATTAATTCTCTTGAGCCAAATAATTAGCTCCTTTACTATATGATTCTATCACTTCTTCTCCAACTATCTCTTCAACATAATTCTTATTTCCATAACAAATAGTAGGTAATGGCTATTTCTTTGCCATCTTCTTCTCTTACTTAGCTTATCTTCTTGTTCTTTAACCATCTTTAGAACGAAGTCCTGATCTATTAACTTTTTTCATAACTTTCTTTGCTTTCTTTCTAAATTAAGGTACACATATTTCACCCTCTTCTTCTCCATTTTCATTCTTCTCATCTTATGGTGGTATATCATCCTTTTTATTTACTTTTTTTTTATTTTATTGATTATCTGAAACAACTTTTTATTTCTTTGCATCATCTTCTTGATTTTTAATTTTATTTTTTTTCTCATCAGATTATTTATATCCATTTTTCTTCTTCTATTTAATTATTTCAGCTTATTTAGTTTTCTTTCTATTTTGTTCTTCTCTTTTAGGTTTTACTTTTTTTTTATCAACATCTTAATCATCATTAATAATTTCTTCTATTGTCTCTTCTGTAATTTCAATAATAGCTTCTTCTTCTGTAATTTTTTGATCATCTGGTATTGGATCATCATTTATTTATTCAGGATTTTCTTCAGTTTCTTCAATTCCATCTACATAATCTGGTTCTGGTTAATTTACTGTATCTCCATAATATTCACATTCTTCTCCTACTCCACTTCTTATATATTCAATAGGTCCATAAGTAGAATGAGCATCAACTATTTTACTAGAATCTTTTTATGTTCCATAAATTTCTCTTGTCTTTATAACAGTACTCTTTGTTACTTTTGGATTTTAAGGATATTTATAAACCTAAGGTTCTGAATTATCAAGTGGAAATTCTACTTCCATTTCATCTTCATAAACGTAAACATAATCATATTAATCTTCAAATTCTTATTCTTCAAAATAATAAACTACATCATCATCATCACTTTCTATTATAATATCTCTAGGAGCTTATCTTTTTAGTTCCTATTCACAAACTTATTTTAATGCCTTTAATTATGCAATCTTATATTTCAAATCAGTTGTTAATCTAACATTTCTACATGAATCCACATATCTATAAATTTATCTCTCTGCATTTCGTAAATAATTTATAATCTAATTAGCTAATGATACTCTCTCTTCTTTAGATCTTTATTCATTAAGATATTACACATAATCATACGCATCTTCAATTTTACAAGATGTCCATTCATTTTAAAGAAATACTTTAAAATATGGTCGATTTCTCTCATAATCACGAATAACTGTATTAACTTACTTTGCATTCTCAATTATCTTTATCATTTTTGCTAACACTTCCAGATCATTTAACAATTATTCTCGATGTTCTATTATATCAACCCATCTTGTTAATGCTTCAATGGTTCCATCAAAGTTCATGTAACAATTGAATCGACTTATTTCTAGATCTCTTGCTTCATAATAAGTCATCCCTACTTTTATTACACAAACTTCTCCTAAACTTAATGTAGCTAACAATAACAATAACAATTTCTTCATGAAAAAATAAATATGTAAACCGTTTTTATTATAAATCATTCATGACATAGAATACTCTATTTAACCCACTCTAAACACTTTCTTTCATTTTTCATATCATCTTCATTCAATTTATTAATTAATTTCAATCGCTTCCCCTACTTAAATTATACACTCCTTTTAAAATGTTTAATATTCTTATCTTTTTGGAACTGTCAAATCGCTTAAAATTATCTATTTTTACATCTTACTTCTAATTTTCAAAATTACAATGATTGCAATGCAGGATACAGATACAGATACAGATACAGAATTGAACAATCAAAAATTTTACTTACATTAAAACCTCATCGAATTCTAAATTTTATTAAATTGATGAAGAGCCAATTTGATAGAATAGATTTATTTAAATATAAAGAATTAATCAAATTTTAAGTTTAAATCATTGTTTATATAAGAATTTATTAATATCTTTTATACATAAAACTTGACATTAAAATGAAATATATTATTACATTCATTTTAAAGTACATAAAAAAGCTTAGTTAATTAATTATAGCTTCTTTTCTATTATGTATATGATATCAACTATTAAGTTTCAAGTAATAAATTTGATGAATTTTTCTTGACTCAAAAGTTGAGATTATTAAAATGTCGTAATCCAATAATATATATAATTCATTAAGACCTATTTAATTTTTAAATTATGCCTTCAAATTAATAAAATATATTATAAATCAAAATCTTATTTTTGAGAAATATAGGAATATTAACTAGGAAACTAAAAATTGTATTTACTTGAATCTTCAACCTAAGATCAATTTTATGATTACCTATAAATGCTATGGCCAATCTTCATTATTTTATTCTATCAATTTATATTAAGAATAGAACTTTTTTAGTACATCAAGTGCTGTCTAAATTGGGATTTTCTTAGAAATATATGTATTTATTTTATCTAAAGCTTTCTATTTTTAATTTAGAATTTGTTCCCAATGTTTTGCCCACTATTTTCGAACAACTATTTGCGATTATTGATATTTTAGCATTTGTCCCAATTTCTCAAGAAAAGCAGATTTTAACTCATTTTCCTTTTTATTGCCATTTTTTTATTAAAATTCATTGTCAATTTAGCTTATATCTTTTTTTAGTTTATTTTCCATTAATTCAAGTTTTTCTGTTTCTCCTTTACAAATTTCAAATTCCCTTTAACATATTAATCTTTAGTTCAATAAGAAAGCTTTCCATTTTTTACTTCATAATACTAAAAATTTACATCTATCTTAAATTTATTTCATCAAAATGATCCTTAATAGGAATTTAAAAATTTCTCTCAATTTTAAAAGTTTTTGATTCTTATTTAAAATTCTTGGGTACAACGAATGCTCGACTAACTTTTGTTTTATCTTCATTTAATTTATACAATTCTTATACCGCAAATAAAATATAAGAAGTTGTTTGCTATTCATAAGATTAATATTCATTATGTGATGTCATCATATAAAATTATTTTTGTAACATATCTAAATCCAATAAAGCTTACTAATCTTCTTGTTTAAGATATCTTATATGATCATTTAAGTTATTAATATCTGATTTTAAGATTGATATTTGACTTTAAGCATTTTATAATTAATTGTTGTTCACTTTTATTTATAAATCCTCCAATTTTTTTTTTATTCTTTATTTCTGAGTTTCTAAGTTTTTTAAATTCACTAAAATTTCTCCTATAAACTTGGATGTTTTAATTATATCTTAATACTATTCTAATATCAACTGATTTTGACGATTGTTTTCATGTAAACTTTTTTACTTTTCAAATTTTTCAATTTATAATTATACTAAATTATTTTTCATACTTTGGTATTTATTTTACAATTCAATCTTGAATTTTTCGAAATCATTTTATAATTTATCATTTAATTTTTTCTTCTAAGCAAGGAACTGCTTAAAATTATCAATTTTTATTTGCTTAACTTCTTAATCCTCTCTATTCAGATTTACACAAGAAGCAAACTTTAATTCTCGCAATTCTAGATTTCGTACTTCTTCTTCAAATAATTATTCTTTATATTTTTTTCTAATTATTAATTGATTAGTTAATATATCTTAAATACTCTTTTCCATTAATGTCTCTTAATCTAAATCTTTTAAGGTTTAGATTTTCTATTAATATTTAAAAAGTTGACGTTTTAATTCGAATTGTCTTTTTATAATAGAGCAATATTCAGAAAGTTTAAAAGATTATTCTTAATATAATAATCTAATATTTTCCTCGATAGATTAAATTATTTATATTCTGTATTAATTAAACTCGAGATTTTATTATTTAGTTCTTTCTGAAATTTAAATTTGCATATTGTTATTTGAATCTATATTTTAATTATTTTCTGAGATTAACTTCTTCATGAATCTTAAACGAAGAAAAAAAAGTTTTTATTACAAAAGGATTAAATAATTTTTATTAATTTTTTATTTTTGATCTTAATAATTTTCTAAATCTCTTTCTAATCTCTTTTCCAATTTTAACTTTTCACTATTTAAATGTGCCTCTAACTCTTCATTTAATTTTTATTAGAGTATTTATTTTTTTTTTTCGAAAAGGCTTATTGTTGATTCATATTATTTTTCATACTAATCACTTAAATACAAAAATTCATTTTTCATCAGCTCTTCTAAAAAATATTTATATTCATCAAATTTAAGTTATAATTGCATTTATTAAAACCTAATTTATTTTTACTTCTCTTCATAATAAGCTTGAGCACTAACTTAATATTCCTAATTAATTTGATCCATCTAAATATTTATTGCTTCAGTCTAAATAAATGAGAGTAAAATTTTACTTTTAAATTCTAATACTTAGTTTGAGCATTTAAAGGTGTGACCTCATCTTGCTATTAAAAACTTTAATCTTAAATATGTCTATTTTATTCTTCTATGAATTATTCTTGATTATTAATAATAGACTTATCAAATAATTATTCTAATACATATTTATGAATTGTCTCTTATTTTTATTAATATTGCTCTGAGCAATTAATATCTTAATTAGATAAATTCTCTGCTTAATCAACTTAATCATTCGAATTATTAGAGTCCTAATCTTCAATTTAGTATTCTTTTTATTGTAAGATTTCTTATTAGTCCATCATTAATTCTTCTTAACAAAGATCTTAGATTTCTTCTTCTTAATCTTATACTCTTGTCCTAAATCTTTCTATTTCTATTTAGACAATAAAAATAAACTTTAATTTTAAGACTCAATGTCAGAATCAGATTAGAAATTGTTTTATTCATCATTTTCATCGATTTGATTAAACATTTTTATTTAAATTAGACTTATTAATAAATTTGGAAAATATTAATTTTACATATATCAATGATATTTTTAATATCATAATGAGAATATTATGAGCATATTTCATTTGATTGAAACCATTCTAAACTAATGAGCTTTTCCAAATTGATTATTGATTTGACAAAAAATGACAAATAAAATGTTTCACAAGATAATTTTATAATTGTTAATTGGATTAAAACAATTGTAATGATTGAAGTATCAATAATTAAATTTTTAAGAAATTCATTCAGGAAAAATCTGCTCTATAGATGTTAAGAATATATTTAAAGAATATCAGATAAATTGAAGTTAGTTTTTTTTCCTGGTCTTACTGGGAGGATTAAAATTGAAAACTATTTATCTTTTGAAAAGAGATAAATGTCTATTTCTAAAGAACTCATTTCAAAGAAAATTTTTATATCTCTACTTAATCTTAGAATATATTTTATTCATATTGAAAATTTGTGATTTATATTTTATCTGTAATAAATTTGAGTTATTGAAAATTAACTAAAGGAAATTAAAGATAAAATGAATTTAAGTAATTTATTTTTTACAAAAAATTCATCTCAATAATATTTAGATTTTTTTGTCTAAATAATGTTTTTAAAAATTAATTCAGAACAAAATACCGAACTTAAAACAATTAATTATTTTAATATGAAGACTTCATTTTTTATTTAAAAGGCCTAAAAACCTTAAATAATCTAGTGATAATTTTCAAATCATTTTTAAGTAAATAAATATGTAAATGAATTTAAAAAATAAATTTAGATTTAAGACAAATAGGTATGTTAAGATTATTCCTTATTTAGGACTAAATAATGAGAGCATTTAAAATAATTAAAGTTTATACAGCAAACTATCATTTGAAGAGTAGAAATATATATAAACGCCAGATTTTATTTCTATCCCATTATGTTTTTTGACTAATAAAATAAAATCACTCGTTTTATGATTATTTATTTTTCAGATGAAGTGATGTTGCTCTCAAGATGAATGAAGATATTCCATATTAATTTAGAGAATAATTACAGTTAATTGAAGGCTGGATTCTTTAATTTTTTTGTATTATAATATTTTAAGAAATGGCTCTTTATAAAATGTTAATATATTTATATGTGTATCTTTATGATCTGTGAATCAAAGAGTCGAATATATTTAGAAAATTCATTAATTTATTTTTTTAAATAATCGATGATTAAGATGATAATTTGCTTCTTTCTTTTCTTTGGGCAGGTACTTCTACCTTCTAGTATAATTAATTATTAGATTAGAATGCAAATATTTAATTTTAACAGATCTAACAAATGAAAGCGTAGAAAGTTTCTGGTCAGATGAAATCTTAAACTTACCGTTATCCTTTTGTACAAATGGGTTAACAGAAAAATACATAGGTTAAGATACTAGTTAAAATACAATTCATTGGAAGAGAACATTTTCAATACCAAAAACTAACAGAGTTTATGTTTATTTTGAGTTTTCATTATCTGGAAATTGGAATGATGATGAACTATAGGTATTCGCAAACAATTTAAGAGTATACTCTTAAAAATTCAACCTTATAGATTCAAATCGTGCTTGTATTCAAAGGTATTGAATTTGACGAATTTTAGATTTCAATATGAATCTATGGCTTATTTTTTAATAAATATGAAATTGGATTCTTTGTAATTTGAAATAAAAGTCAGTAACAAAAACCTAGGAATATATATTAAAAACTTAGTCCTTTTATAATAGTAATAAAGAGGAAGAAATGAAGTTCTAGAATTTATAGATTATATTCCATCATGTAGTAATCCTAATTATTATTTTTAACAATATTATTGCAAATGCAAGACCAATTTTGTCTATGAATAGAATTTGTGTGTAACAGAATGTAGTTAAAATTACTTGTATGATTCAACAGAAAAGGCATGTTATGTGAAAGATTATTGTACAGCATGTAAAGGAACTTAAACAACATTAACTTGCAATACAGGATATTATAAATATTATGAATCTGATATTACTTAATCAAATTGTGTTAAGAAATGTCCAAATAATTTTTATTAAGATGAAGTATCCAAAACCTGTTCAAATATGAAATCTTACCTATAAACTAAATAAAATGGAGGAGGTAAATAATTAATTTATGATTTAAAGAATAGGTGAACCATTATTATTTTTTTACAACCATTTAAGAATTTATGCATTTTTACACAACTATTCATTTAATGGCAACTGTAATATCAGTTCCAGAAAAAATTAAAGAAAGAAGCTTTTTCTATAATGGTGGTATATTTTATATAGGGTCATTTGATACATTTTAATCCTAAAAGGTGTTGATCACATAAAATATTCAGAATTCTTAACATAAAATACGTTTCAGAGCAGTAGCTCATTTTATTGATTTTAACCCTACTAAATTTGACATCACTATTAATGGTGTAAAGTAAACAACTGTAAGTTTAACAATTAACAATTAAAATAGATTATAGTCAACAAAATCAGATTATTTAGCTTATTTAGATTACACTTGGGTAAGAACAGAATAATATCCAATAAGTTAAAATACTTTTCTTTTTGAAATAGAATAGCAAGAATAAGATGGGAATTATATTGGAATCTTTTATTTAGATGATATTAATGTTTATCAATTTTAATGTTACTAGGGATGTAACAGTTGTTTTACATATAATTTATGTACTCCTTGTCTTTATCCAGCAAATAAAAACCCAGCTGATTGTTAATGCTTAACAGGATATGTTATGAAGGATAATTAGTGTATAGGTATTATAGAATTTGAAGTTAGATTGTCCAATTTATTGTACTATGTGTATAACAGCTGGAGAGTGTGTAGATTGTTTAGAATCAACAAAAAGAATAAATTCTCCAATTTGTGATTAATGTCCTGTAAATTATTATTTAGAAAACGGAAATGTAAATTGTTAATCTTGTTAAACTGGATGTCATTAATGCCTAGTTGGAACTTC